GACTACAACGTGAAACTTCCAGAAACTTCTTAGCCCGGTTGACTAAGCTGGCCCGGTTTCCGAGAAATCGCCTTACCTCTAAATCTTTTGTAAAATCTTCGATGTGTTCATATGCGAAGATGGGCTGGCTCGGTTCCCGAGATCTCGGTTTCTCCAACCGGGATCTCGGTAAGCGGGCTGGAAATTTTGCCATATGAACACTCCATCCCGGTTACCATGAAAGTGGGGTGAATTCTGGCGGTCCGGATGGCATCGTCTTACATTGCCTGCGGTATTTACCGCATCATAAGCATCCCATTTAACTGCAGTAATGAACCTTTAAGAGTTGCCGAAGCTATGATAGGCGCGAATTAAAATTTTTGTATTTCGCAATGTCTGCTGTGTTTCTCGAATTTGGCGTCTGAACTCGTCCGCAGGATCTTTCGCCTTTTCTCATCTCGGAAACAGGGCTGAAATTTCTCATAGTATGAACCCAAGGCGAAATTCATCCCGGTAACCGAGCTCAAGTGGAGGGACCTTTAGTTACACGTTTTTTTGAGGAAATGTCGTACGTGTTCACGTTCACTTTTTTTTCACTGCCGCTCATTTTCACCTTGCATTGGTGGCCGCTAGCGTTTATCATTTTGTCACCGCCGCTACAAAATTTTCATGTTGTTCTTCTAACAAAAAAATGCCTTCTTTGTTTTTTTTTTTTTGGTTATCTCTCGCTCTAGATCTCTGTCCCCTTTTTCTCGTTGAGCTTCGCTTGCCTGCCAACAACTTTCTCTTTTTCTCTGTCTTGCTCTTGCTCTATATTCCAAATTTGTGGACATGACAATTAATCTAAGCTTAATACTTTAGAAAACACAGATCGATACAGAAACAATTTCCGCTTTCTGTTTTTGTCTTTATTGACTCTTTGTTTCGGCTTTAAAAGACGCGGGTGNTTGATTTCCCAGGTGCGAGCGCAGTTCTTCATAATCATTAATGCATTCTTGGTAAATGCTACCAGCCGCTTTGTACTCCTGTAACATGCGCAGACAGTAGGCACTGCCTAACATGGCGTGATAAGTAGGCAACCTCATTCCAGATTCCTTAAACAGGCGTTCCGCTGTCCTGTGATGAGTAAGTGCTTTTCTGTAGTCTTCGCAGAACCGAGAAGCGAGCCCTAAGCTGTGCTCTGCACGAGCAATCAGCGCTTTGTCTCCAATTTTCCTGGCAAGATTGGCGTTCTCTTGAAAGCAGGTTGAACTGGCTTGGTAGTCACCCAATGTGCAGTAGGCGTTTCCCATTCCACCGTTGGCGGCAAACTGGCCTCTGAGGTCCCCTAATACTTTAGACAACTCGAGAGACTTCTTTGCATATATCAGAGCTTTCCTCGCGTCACCAAGGTAACGAAACACATTACTCAAATTGGCGTAAGAGGTGCACTCGTCTTGCCTACGTCCTGTCGCCATAGCAACATCAAGCGATTTTTCGTGGCAGTTGAGAGCTCGAGGGTATTCCCCGACATCGCGGTAGCAAAGTCCCAAGTTAGTGTGGGCGTGAAATTCCAGATCCATTTCTCCTCTCTCTCTTGCAAGGTGAAGTTCTTTTTCGAAGCACTCTATAGCTTGACGAATTTGTCCAAGATTTCTGTACACTGCGCCCATGTGTCCGTAGGTCTTGATTTTGAAGCGAGTATCTCCTAAATTTTCGCATAAATCCAGGGATTTTTGAAAACACCGGATTGATTCAACGGAACTTCTCTGTTGGCGCTTGGCTGACCCAATCAGAGCGTATGCTTCTGCCATTATCTCCTGATTTCGTCTTCTTAGATTAGGGTTTCCTTTCGTTGCTCCAGTGTTGCCTTCTTTACTTTCAAAGTTGTTTAAAGTTTTTAAAGCATTTTCGTAATAGGATACCCCGCGAGCCACGTCATTTGGCATAAAAAACATGCCCAAGCAGGCCAAGGAAGCTGCAACGATGGTTGGATGGCCCGTGCTTTGTGATATTTTGAGGCATTCTGTGAAAACCGAATACGCTTTTTGCTGTTGTCCACTTTCAAGTAGTGTCTTTCCAAAACTCAGTGAAATCTCTATGGCAGGAACAACCACACTTTCCATTCCAGCCGCATGAATCTTAAATACTGGAAAACAAAAAAAGTATCGTTTAAGTAACAAAAGTGACAATAACAGACTTCTCGCCTTGCAACAAAGGCTTAATAAACATCTTTAAAAGTTGTTTAGTCAGCTGTTTAGCTAACGACGGACCGGATTACAGAATTGTTTGTTTCAAAAAAGCGTCGAGGGGTACTTCCTACAATGGCCTACATGGGGAATGGGGGGTGGGGGGGGGGGGGGGGGGGCCCC